AGCCTGCCTGCAGAGTGCTCATTGCCATAATATTGAAATGACCTGGCTAGATCATAAATGAGCAATTGTTCAGACAGAGGTTTGAGTTTACGAATTCCCACTGGGTGAGTGGGGAGTGGGCTGTCTGGAGCCCCCTGGCAGAAAGCTGCACCCGGTACACAACCTCCTCTACCCTCTCCAGGACGCTGCAGGGCCCCACCCAGTGGCTGTCCAACTTGGGGCATCTGCCTTTCTCGCTGTGCAGTTGTCACAGCGGCGGCAAAAGTCCTCCACATCCCTCTTGTGCTGCCCCCAGTAAAATCCCTGACTGAGGCGGCGGAGGGTTTTTGTGACCCCAAAGTGTCCAGTCCCCAACCCCCCATGAGTGCTCTGGAGCACAGCCTTTTGGGACCACCACCTGCCACCTCTCCTCTCCCATAGCTGGCTCCTTCCATGCCCGCTGTAGCACGGTGTAGGTCTGTGTCCTGTCCCTGCTGCTGCCCCCATTCAGCCACGTCGACAGTCTGCAGCTCACAGCAGACAGGCCCGCCCGCCCGCCCGACACACTGTGGCACAGACCCCCTCCTCCGCACACAGCTCTCTCTCACGGCCCTCTCTCCGCTCACAGTGGCGGCACCCGTCTGCAGTACAGGGCCGACAGAACATGGCGTCGGCGTTGGAGTGGCATGCCCCTGCCCTGTGCACCACTGTGAAGTCGTACGGCTGAAGCTCCTCCAACCAGCATGCAACCTGCCCCTCTGGCTCTTTGAAAGACATGAGCCACTGGAGAGCAGAGTGGTCAGTCCTTACAGTAAAGGGTAGGCCACCCAGGTAGTACTTGAAGTGTTTGATGGAAGCCACAACAGCGAGGAGCTCCCGCTGGGTGACACAGTAGCGGTGCTCATGTTTGTTTAATGTTTTGCTGAAGTACGCCACCACTCTCTCCCCCTCTGGCCCTACCTGGGCCAGCACCCCACCCATGCCCACATTGCTTGCGTCTGTGTCCAGGATAAAGGGAAAGGTGAGGTCAGGGGGGGCGAGCACGGGGGCCTCGATCAGTGCACTTTTGAGGGTGTTGAAGGCCTCCTCGCACTCCACTGTCCAAGTGAAGGCCTTGTCTTCGGCAGCAGGCGGTTCAAGGGAGCAGCGACGCTTGAGAAGCCCTGTACAAACCTCCTGTAGTACGAGGCCAAGCCCAGGAAGCTCTTCAGCTGTTGCTGGTCGATGGGGGTGGGCCAGTCTCGGACAGCCCCCACTTTGTCCTCTATGGTGCTAATACCCTCCTCCCCCACTTGGTGGCCCAAGAAGGACACCTATCTTCTCATGAAGTGGCACTTCTCAGGGTAGAGCTTCAGGCCTGCCGCAGCCACCCTCTCCAGCACACGCGGTAGCGCCCCCAGGGCTGACTGGAAGGAGCTGCCATGGGCCAGGATGTCGTCGAGGTATACCAGACACTCCTGTCGGGGGATGCCATCCAGCACCCTGTCCATCAAACACTCAAAAGTAGCTGGAGCGTTGCACAGGCCGAAGCACAGGACCTTGAACTGCCAGTGTCCTGTTAGTGAAGAATGCAGTTTTGGCTCTGGCCTCTGGGGAGAGGGGCACCTGCCAGTAGCCACTACGGAGGTCTAGTGAGGAGAACCAGGAGGACCCCCTAACCAGGTCCAGCGACTCATCGATGCGTAGTATGGGGTATGAATCCTTCCTGGTTACCTCATTCAGCCGCCTGTAGTCCGCACAGAACCTCAGCTTGCCCCCCTTCTTAGGAACCATGACGACTGGTGCCGCCCAGGAGCTGTCTGAGGGCTCGATGAAGTCTGCCCGCTGCATCTCCAACACAGCCTTGTCTGCCGCCTCCTGGTGTGCCAGTGGGATACGGCAGGGACGCATCTTGATGGGCCGAGCATCACCTGTGTGGATCTCATGCTGCACCAGATGAGTCTGACCCACCTCTTCCTCACTCAGCGCAAAGCTGTCTCTGAATTCAAACAGCAACTGCCACAACCGTTCCTGCTGCTCGGGATCAAGATCAACACAGTTCCTCTCCCATATCTCCCTCACTGCAGACAGCGTCCTCTCCTCTCCCATCTGGGGTAGCTGGGCTAGGGGGGCGTGGCCCGGGCTCATGGAGGGATGTGTCGTGGAGGTAGCTGGAGGAATGTAACACACAGCCGTAGGTGACAGAGGGGCTGGGGAAAAGTCACACACAAATGTGGGGGAGGGGGGGCAGCCATGAGTCTCTGCTGCTTTAACTGTTGGAGTAAGGGGGTTGTTGGGTTGTGTGAATGTGATATTAGGGGGGGCCTTGGTGACTGCCGGCCCTCCCTGGAAGCGCAGTGTGCCCCCAGTTAAGTCTAACTGGCACCCTGTGCTCCTAAGAAAGTCCAACCCCAGGATACAAGGGTCCTGCACAGCCGCTACCCACACAGGATGACGCACAGTCCTGCCCCCTACTGTCAGAGACATTATTCCCTTCCCTTTCATTGGTGCCAGCTCACCTGTGACTGTACGGAGCTGCACAGTTGTGGGCTCAAACTGAGTCCAACCTGGCACAATATCCGGCCTCACCAGGGTTACTGTGGACCCAGTGTCCACCAGGGCAGAGCAGGGCACCCCCTCCACAGTGACAGGGACATGACAAAAGTCCCCAACACAGATCCGACCCACCACAACAACAGGCTCCATCCGCTTGCACTCGTCTGCTTCTGGGGGGCGGGGAGCCGTGCTCCCCTAGTCCGTGCCGGTGGGCTCCTCCTGGCGAAGGTGGTGGTTGGGAAAGAGAGCCAGGGGTCCGCACTGCCCCGTCTATGCGGACCCCGAGCCATTTCCCTGAGCTCTGAGGGACATGGGGCAATCCCGGCGCAGATAGCCTGGCTGGCCACATCCCCAGCAGACCATGGGACCAGGGCGTGTGTTGCGTGCCACCTGTAGCGATACAGCATGAATGAGTTGCTCTGCCCCACAGCCCGCACAGAGTGTGTGTCTCCCTGCACCCCCACCGAAGCCCCAGCTGAAGCCCCAGCCCATACGAGCTCCCTCTCCAAAGCCATCTCCAAGGCTATCTGCAATGACTCAGCATGAGCCAGCTGGGTCTGTATGCGCAGCTCCTTAGGAGAGAGCGCCTGTATGAACTGATCCCGTGCTAGCTCGCTCTGCACGGAGGGGGGCATGTGAGCATATTCCCGCCAAGAGAGGGTCTCAATGTCATTAGCTAGCACCCGTAGTGGCTCTCCAGGATGCCTGAGTCTATTACTTAGTTCGGCGCGCAGCAGCCCGGCCTGTACACACTATCCAAAGCGCCTCCTTAGTGCTCCAACTAAAGCCCCATAATCAAATCAAATAAAATGTTATTTGTCACATGCGCTGAATACAACAGGTGTAGACCTTACAGTGAAATGCTTACTTACAAGCCCTTAACCAACAATGCAGTTTTAAGAAAGAATACCAAAAAAAATCACACAAAAAAATACAATATAAAATAATACGAAATAAAAGTAACAAATAATGAAAGAGCAGCAGTAAAAATTACAATAGCGAGGCGATTCAATGTGCGTGGGCACCAGTTAGTCGAGGTAATATGTACATGTAGGTAGAGTTATTAAAGTGACTATGCATAGATAATAAACAGAGAGTAGCAGCAGCATAAAAGGGTGGGGACCTAGACTTGATTCGGGGCTAATCAATATCAAACAGGACAGAGCATCATCAATGAGGCACAAAGCCAACTGCAGTGCCCTATCTTCATTCGACCACCCCACAAAATGAGCTAACAGTTCAAACTGAGCATGAGTACTTCGGGGTCTTAACAGATGCGGACGCAATCGGGGACTGGGCGCCACCATGTTTGCCTCCTCATCACGCAGCGTCGACGTAACCCCTTCGGACCGCCCCCCAGAATCCGCGCGAAGCAGTCGATGAAGCACTCATGCCCGCTTCAGCCGCCATCATTCTAACGGTCTCCCTAAGGCGGCCTCTGTGCTCCGATGCCCTGGCGGGTGATCTCCTCGACCAGATCCTCCGACGTCCATGCACACGCACCTCCTTGGCCATAATCGTCCCCTACCTCCACCTTCACTTTCGGATTCCCTCGAAGCATTTTCAACCCCGGTTCTTCTCCACGTACACGTTAGCTAGCCACGGTAGTCAGCTAGCTAGCTGGCTAACTTTTATCCACGTTTGTACTTCTGACACCAATGTAATGACCTGGCTAGATCATAAATTAGCAGTTGTCCAGACAGAGGTTTGAGTTTACGAATTCCCGGTTTATTAATCAAGGATACCCGTATAAAACAACCGTGACCACCTCTTGTTAAGACCAGATGAAAGAGAGAACAATGGCTAAGCATGGTCTTAAACTTGTGATGCCCCCCAACTTTTGGGGAAATGATACAACCAATGAAAAGAGGGCGTCTTGTCCTGCTCCTACATTCATCCCAGTCATCAGCAAAAGAACATTGGGGTAGGTGCATTTCTGACATCAATGTGTGCACAATTACAATTTAATATGGTCCATTTCAGATAATGTTATATAACATAAACATACTGTTTACAAGTAGGCTATGGTGTAATGGAATGTTTTTCCTTTTGTGGTAGGTTTTCACACTCTTATGTAGGTGTCATAACCAGCCATAAAATAACGCAATATATGCCACAACAGGTCATGACAGTGTTATGACAAGTTATGACCGTGTCATAATGTGTTATGGTGCTGGGTGTCAAGTAAACTGTTACAGACTAATCTTACTGCCCTTCCATACCCTGTTACCAACCATCCTATGAGAATGACAGACTTATTTCCGTGTTCCTGTGCTGTCCTCCTGCGAGAGTGAAGGACTCATCTCTCTGTCCTGCAGTGTCTGCTGGGAAACATTGATGTCCCTTCATGTTGGAATCACTTATGGCTTGTGTGAAACCTCTTAAGAGTTGTCATATTTACAACAGTTATGATATAGAGAACTATACCGATATGGGAATCTCAGCTGATTCTGAATTATATTTATTTTTGGATATCATGATATCCTTTTGGTCATAATCTGATCTCAGTAATCATCACTTTGATGAGTAAATAAACAAGCATACACACATCACATGCATCATACAAGCATGAATGCAAACAAACATTTGAATGCAGTTCATATGGAGCACCAGGCACAGTATGAGGAGGCTCAGTCCATTAAGTCCAGTATATAGCTCAAATAGCCTTCTGCTATTTCAGCTAAATAGGACTGCAGCCCTGTATAAACTGGGAACAGAAAATTGCACACACTCCTCTTGACACACATGTCCATAGCAGAGAACAAGTTAAGAAAACACACTTTACGATATCTTGGTTTGGACCTCATGCACAAAGACCATAGGCTCTCACTTTTGACCTCTGAAACTGTTCTGAAATGTCACAAGTATCTTTGTTCACAGAATGAAACCCAGCTCCTCCGCTTTGTGTGTCAGAGTTAGCTATTCTGATCTGATCGTCAGATCAGCCTCATTGTCCAAACTCAAGTAATGGCTCCAGCTCCACTCTGCCTCTGTGTTGCCATGGTGATGGACGCTGCGTTGGTGGGTGCCGTGGTCTGCAGTCAGTGTTTGACTGGTGAGGAAGGGCAGGTGGTGAGGAAAGGACTGTCCAGGGTACTGTCCTGTCCCACCCTCACCCCACTGACCCATGCCCTGGTTAGTGGTGTAGTGGCCATAGATGGGGTAACTGTAACCCAGGTGCCCAGGGTAGGTTTTGGAGGACATGGACAGATGGACAGGGGACATTCTGTAGTCCTGGGGCATGACTGGAGCCAAGGGGTGGTGGTGGGGGTGTCCCATGTCCCTGACAGGGCCAGGTCTGGTAGTCTCGTGCTCAGGGACAGTGGCTACATCACGGAGGTGCGACTCATAGCTGTGCCTGCCTTTGCAATCCTCCACTGCAGAAGATGGAGAGGGAAGTCTGCCAACAGATCTGGAGAGAATAAGAAATATGGAGCGGGTTACTAATATGACTTCTTAGTTGTTATTGTCATCAACCCACATACAGTATGTGAACTCAAACACTCCCTGACTCAAAGTGTCACTTTTAATTGCACAGTATGGAGGTGTATTCTGCACCATAGAGTGCCTGTTAAGTATAGCTCTGAGTCACTGAATTTTCTATTGGCATAATGGGTCCTGTTTCTGCATATGAACCTGTGTGGGTGTGCAGGCTGTTAGAGTGACTCTCTCTCAATGGGGATTCGCCTGTATGTTGGGTTTCACCTCCAAAAAATGGAAGTCAAGGTATGCTTTACAATCTAGTTTATATTGCTGCAATGTCGCGCTTATACATGCGTGTGTGCCTGGTGGTTGTACAGTACATGTCTGGTTGGTAGGACATAGATGCAGGGCCAGGCACCATCTGCTCCTCAGTGCTGTAGTCCTGTCTGTGGTCGTGGCGCTCCAGTAGTTCAGTGTGCAGGCTGTGGCTCTGGGACGGGTCCTGTTCCATGGCCCAGGGGGAGAAGAGATCCCCCTTAGCCGACACCACGTTCTCTGTTGTTCCCAGGGTTATCCTCCTTTCTGCTGGCTCACAGTCTAATGTCGCCCTTTGGAGGTCTGGATGGGAAAAGATTGTGCATCAATGAGACTGCCTATAGGCCTATGGGCTGGACAACCTTTGACATTATACAGATCAAATCAATCTAATCTTACTGTATACAGGTAAGATTCATACCTGAAGGACTTTTGAATTCTGTTTCTCTGTCTTGTTTGGCTTTCTTTGAAGCATTTCCAGGACTCTTGTTGGATCGACACCTATAAAAAATACAATAAAAACTTGTAAAGCACATCTCCCCAACTCACACGCACGTAGTGTTATAGTTCAATTGATCCCTACCTCTTGCTATGAGTACGGGTGTTCTCCCCTTTGAATCCTTTAGCAAAGGGGTTGTGGTCAATCTTCAGTTTAGCGATCTGAAAGCAGGAGTAGAGATGAATACATCAGATTGGGTTACACCCATTCCCAAAGAGCAAGTTAATTATGTGAGTGAGCCATTTGTATGTTCTTAATACGTGAGTTGATAGACAGACCTTAGTGTTCTGGTAGGCAGTGACTGCAGTGAAGGAGGTCTCAGGGAAGGAGAAGGAATGGAAGTGTCCCCAGCGCACACTGTACAGACTGTCAGCCTGGACCACAGAGAAGCGTGGGATGTAGCGATGCATAGAGTGCAGGATGATCTGAGGAGAGAACAGACACCACTAATGAGTCAACTAATAACATTGTTGACAGACATTACAGCTGTATACTCTCAGACTGTGAGGGGTTGGGGATCCAGTAGAGAAGGAGGTACGTTTTCTTACATGGCCGTGCTGGTCCAGAGTATGGTTGGTGAGTTTGAGCTTGAGGAAGGACACCGATTGCTTCATCCAGTAGGAGCCCGGGGTGGGGGAGTCTGGATGCACGTACGTCCGACAGGGGAGCTGGGGCTCGGCTTTCCCAGCCATGTCCCACTGGCCCTTATTCCACTACAGAGACAGAGAGAAGGGGGGAGGGGACGGGGGTTACTCAGGTGTGAAACGAACCACAAGACAAGCCTCAACATGTAGACACTCCACAAAAACTCACATACCCCCAGTCTTTACACTTATACAGTATATGTAAGGAATCTGTGGTGCATATTATTGCATGCTTGAACAGTATCCTGTAGGTATGTATATAATTGCATATAATCTACCAACATATATAGTAGGCCTCCTGTAGCTCAGTTGGTAGAGCATGGCACATGCAACGCCAGGGTTGTGGGTTCGATTCCCACGGGGGGCCAGTATGAAAAATGTATGCACTCACTAACTGTAAGTCGCTCTGGATAAGAGCGTCTACTAAATGACTAAAATGTAATATATACATGAACTTCTATAGCAAAGGAAAAACGCTCCTCTCTCTCTGGAGCCATATGGTCAAAAGCAATGTGTACTGAGGGGAGGGCCAGTGGATGCATGGAGGGGGTATTGCTCCCCATTCACTTTGATTGGAGCGGGATGGAGGTGGAGGTGGTATGCTAAATGGCTGGACCTCCAGCTGGGGGTATAAAAACAGGAAGTAGTAATGGTCTTTGATATGCAGTGTGTGAGGTGATTGGCTGGGTGTTGCCGGGACACCGTCTGGCCTGTAAGCTTGATGCAGACTTACTGCTGGAGTTGCATATGCAAGCTTGTCTTCTACTTAATCTCCTTATGTTTCCTTTTAAAACAATGCCTGACTATATTCCAAACTGTGACATGTTTGTCTTATCTAATAGGACCTTTCCCAATAGAAATGTTTTGTAATGTGTGAGTAAGACGTGGTATATAAATAAAATGTATTTATAAAAGCCCTTTTTACATCAACAGATATCACAAAGTGCTTATACAGAAACCCAGCCTAAAACCCCAAAGCAATACAGATGTAGAAGCACGGTTGCTAGGAAAAACTCCCTGCAACGGAGGCATTATATATATAATATTTTTTTTTTTCACCTTTATTTAACCAGGTAAGCCAGTTGAGAACAAGTTCTCATTTACAACTGCGACCTGGAAGAATGGTGGACATGTTGTTCTTACCCTGTATCTGAAGTTGTCCACAGGAACCATTTCCACCATGAGGACATAATTGGTGTAGGGTTGGAGTCCAGATAGACTGACGTTGCAGTGGGGAAACATCCTCCTGATACATACAAATCCATACTAATTGTATTATCCTCTCAATTCCTGATCAGAACTCTATGCGCTCTCATTCTCACACAAGACAAAAAAAAGCATACAAGCAGCAGAGACAGTTTCACAACATTGCTAAAGCTACAATATGGCATGAAATGTGAGTGAAAGGTAATCATCAGTGAACGCAACATATAATGTGTTTGGTAAATTGAAACAGATCAAAAATGGTGATGAAGGACAAAACAACAACGGTATCGTACCGGCCATGTTTGGTGATGATCATCTCAGTCCCCAGGTTGTGGAAGGACTTCCAGAGGTCAGCCTTCTCCAGGGTCATCCTGACGTTGCCTTGGTGGTAGGGGTCAGCTGTAGGGGGGGACGGGGTCATCATGTTGGGCCTCGGCTCTGGAGAAAGAGAGGGGGACATGGAGCCTTACAGAGTGGACCAGTGCTGAAATAATCCTTTGTACACAGAGATTTCCACAGACAATGCAACAATTCAACTCTGCAATAGACTTGCTGTTGCTCTCTCGCTAGACCACTGACTGACGTAGCAAAGGTTGAAAATGTTATGCTTACCAGAGATATGCTGCATTGCCTGCACAGTTCAACACAATGATCAAAGAGAATATCAAAATCAAATTCCTTATCCAAATCTGTGTGCTGATGTCGCTAGTGTCAGACCCACATCACTGTGAGAATACTGTGAGAGGAGCTGTGGACTTAGTGGTGGTCCTTGGATCATGAAAAGTTTAGTATCAATCTCAAAACGTTCCTTTCCATATCCTCAACTTGTGGATTTAGAGGGGCTGACCTCTGGAGTTCATTGGTCAGCCCAGAAGGGGAATGGCCTGTGAGGACAAAGTGGGTGCGGTTACAACAGAGTGGTGTGCCTGGTTTGGAACCTTTGAAGTGTCTCATCAGACGAGGGGGTGGGAAATGGAGAGGGTGGGCATACTGTGGTGCTGTGAAGAAATAGCTGCCTGAACATGACCTTTTGTTTCTAGAAATCACTGTTGAGAGATTATTGTTCCAAATGTATGTAGCCTAGTACACCCGATATAACAAGTTGTTTGGTATTGTATGGTTTGATACAGGATAAGTCCACTGTCCACTCACAACAGAGTAACACATACTAGAATCAATAGACTTTCTTACTCATGATCTCGTCCCTACCGAAGGTGGTGGAGAGGTATAGGGCCCTAAGGTATAATCCAGCTGTAGGTGTGTATTAAATGGGGGAGTGGGGGGGTTGAGTTATCTCCGTCCTTGACAATGGGAGGCAGCTCTGGCTAATCGTGGCTGATGGCCCCCTCAGGCCCGTAGAGGGGCCCTATGGGGCCTAATGGGGCTGGCACAAGCGACCTGTTAGCCTGAAAGGACAGAGGGAGGGGATGGGGGGATGGATGGAGGCTCCAGGGTTTCTGATGTGTGATAACCCCACCGCAGGGCCCTCCATCCTGGCTGCTCTGATCCCGTGTGGCCCCTGTCTGGGTCTGGAGCACCCTCCCGATCCATGGCTGAGGTCCATACACATGCTAAACACACACAGAGAGCAGTGAAGGAGGGACGTTCACACAGCCCAGGCACATCCTATTTGACTTTCAGACACAATCATCATTGAGGTTTGAGATGACTCCAGAAGTTGGGTTTGAGTCTCTGTTGTACATACTGTATTTGTGTTTATTATTCTGTGATAAACTATTACTACACTGTTTTGGAGCACATGACATGGCCCAGATTGGTGAAAAAGTGATTTGAATAAACATTGTTTCGATTCTGAATAGGTTACTGTGTCTGTGTATGGCCATTGTATGCAGCAATTTTCATAGCACAAGGGTGGAGGGCAAGGCCTTTGTATGTGGTAGCTTTAGTGGCTATTGTCTCAAGAGTTAGTATAGGGATAGAATTCAATACACACAGTGCTAAATGGAATGTCTCATAGGGATACAACAGAGGATGTGTAACAAATGCATGACTCAAACTTTGTTGTGAAACTCATTGTTGCAGAAGGTTTACTATCTCAGTTTCACTTTGCACCTTCAGCTTTAAGAATGTTCCAGATGGGAAAACCAGGATGACTCAGGCAGGCCTAAAAATTCAGGTAAAATCAAGGTGTGTTGCTGTGCGCGCGTGTGCATGTATGTTGAACAGTAGCCTAGGAGAAGTTGAAGCACATTGGAGTGTTCAATTAGGTCCATTTCCTTCCAGACTGACATGTAGAGACACATCCCTACCGCCTAGATCAACCTCAGCCTGGAAGGTGGAATTCTGTAGGCCTATGTGCCTGAAGCGTAGGTTTTCGCCATGACCTTTGCAACTATGATACAGTATGCATGGCATAAATGGTTAGACTTACATACCTTTTGTGTTGGGAGCGTTTAATGTCAAAGAAGTTAGGCACTGGCTTAATATAGCAATAAGGCCTGAGGGGGTGTAGTATATGGACAATATTCCACGGCTAAGGGCTATTATTAGGCACGACGCAACGCTCGACTTCGTCTTGGTCCTAACAACACCCGTGCCAATATATCCTCCAAACACCGGCTTCTCTGGCATTCTCTGGTCTCTTCAGATGCAGTTTCTCTGCTGCAGTGAGCATCGCTGTGGGACTAGCTCACCCTGGTGGATTCTGGTTGCATGGCAACCTGTTGGGCTCAGCTGCTTCTGTCTCCCCACACAGGCAATTCTAATCATGTGGAAAATAATCTGAGTCACTCAACAGATAAGAACACGTTGAACCAAAATGTGAAGAAACCGAAACAACATGGAAATCGACATTGAAAAATGTTAAATTACAACTTGACTTACATCTGGTGCAACCAACCCCTGGTCTTTTGGAAATGTGTCTGTGTGGCTTCTGCTGGTTGTCCCTTACAAAAAAGATTGTGATACTGCACTGTGACTGCAATCGTTTTTTCGTTACAGTAACATAGGCTATTCTGCCCTTTAGTCGCTGAAGCCTTTACCATCCAATCTTGGCTTATTCAATTAGATGAAGATCAGACGGTGGCTTGAACATAGGTCAAGAAAAAGGTTAGTGTGCACATGCATAAGGTAAATGCCATCTCTACTGGATTGGGTTAGGGACATTATGGTGAAATGTCATGAAAAGTAATTTCACCATAGGAGGAGGCTGGTAGGAGAAGCTCATTGTAATGGCTGGATTGTAATGAATGGAACGGAGTAAAAAATGTGGTTTCTATATGTTTGATGTGTTTGATGCCGTTTCATTGATTCCAATCCAGCCAATACAACGAGCCCATCCTCCTATAGCTCCTCCCACCAGCCTCCTCTGGTATAGGCTCCTTCTGATACTGTTGAGATGTAAGGTTGATTCCTACCACTAGAGGGTACCCTAATTTCACATATAGATTATAAATTGAACATCTCTGGTATTTACTTCCATATCAACACCACTGTTAGTAGGTTGCACTTAGGCTTTGCCTGCTCCATAGCACATTCAACATTATAATTGTGTTTTATATTTGAAAAGTTGAGAGAAGTGAGTTCTGGGGCTTGATAATTGATTATGTGGATGAATAATTTTCACTTTAAATTAAGGATTTTATTCAATGCAAGTAGACTAGAGAGAAATACCTATTTTTGAAGCAAGATTGATTTGAAAAGCAAATGTTTTTGTGTCAGTGAAGGCAAGACATGTAGATACCTTACAGTATAGAAATTGAATAAGAACATCTGAATGCCTTACAACACACTGTCTTATAACCAGTTGGTTGTAGTTGAGAATTGAATTAAAGATTTTCTAATTCAAGTGATGGAAGTATAATTTGATTTAGCCACTTTAGACCAGCCTTGTGTTTGGGATCCAGACTAGTTAGTGTAAAAATGTATTTTACTGCAGTCCCAGCTCTAGGTTTGATGTCATTTGTGTTCAATCTAATCTAAAGGCAATTTCTTATAGTGCCCCCTTCTCTGACCCAGTCATCCGATATACAGTCATGACCAAAATTATTGGCACCATTGATAAAGCTGAGCAAAAAAGAATACTGAGCTAAATTGCCACACACACTGACTTTGCCCTTGTACCTCACCCCCTAAACCCCTTTACACACACACACACACACACACACACACACACACACACACACACACACACACACACACACACACACACACACACACACACACACATACACACACATACAGGTCCACACGTGCACACACACTATCCCCTGCACCTGTCCTTTTGTCACCGGAGAGAGAGACTAGTCCGGTGCTAAACGTGGCCCTGGCCCTGAGCCAGCCCCAGCCAGTGTACCCTGTCTGTACTGAGGAGATGAGAGGGACGGGGAGGGATGGAGTCAGACAAGGTGCTGCTGCACCACAGGAACGCTGCCAAAATGAACCCAGTGACCCTCTTCTTCTCTCTCTTCCCCGCTCTGTTCTGCTATCTGGATAAGATTACACAGCACCGCCATCGCCATGCTGATACCACTGAATTACCAATCAGGGAGAGGAGGAAGATCAGGTCATGGAGGAGTAAATGGGAGAAGAGAAAAGTGGGAGTGAGAGAGGAAGAGGAAGAGGATGAAAAAGATTAGGGTTAGGAAGAAAAACATCAAAACAGAGGTGGAGGAAGAGGTGAAGAGGAAAGAGATAAAAGCAGAAACAGGCAAAGACACAAAAAGGTGGTTTCTTTATTTGTTGTGTCAGAGTGTGGTGCCCTTAACACAGGGCTTCACCAACCCTACAGTGGGACTGTGAGACTCCACAATAGTGTGTGTGTGTGTGTTTGGGTGAGTGGACAAGGCTTGTGCAGTCCCAGTACCACCTCCACAGATCTATGGAACAATCACCCAATATTTGGGTTTCATGATGTTCCCTCTCAAAAACAGGTGGCTACACAGGGCCTATCTCCACAACCAAAGGGAGCCTTTATCACAGGATGCAATGGACTGCATCTGAATGGGGGGGTGAATGATTGATAGTTAAGGATGGGGGGGAACAGCCACTTCTTCTCTTTCTCCTCTTGACGCCTCCAGGCTGGCTTACTTCTTAGCTTTGCCCTGGGCAGCCACGGCCTCCATGGCCTTCTTCACAGTCTCAGCGTCTCCTAGGAAAGCCATGGGCTTGACGGGCTTCAGGTTCGCGTCCAGCTCGTACACAATGGGGATACCTGTTGGCAGGTTCAGCTCCATGATGGCAGCGTCTGACATGCCTGAGGAGACAGACACATACAGAAAGGAGTGTTAGGAATAGGCAGAGGATAGTGTGGGAAATCAAGACTGATCATTCATTTCGAGGAAATTCACATAAGGCAATGTATTTGACATATGTATTCCCAGTGGAGGGGAAATCCTTTCTATGGATGTCAAGTACAGATCCTCAAAGGCTGGTATATTTCTTAGCTAGTACCCACTACCCAGCTCTGTTTACAAGAGCAACATTTGGTGCCCTTTGACAGGTGAGGTCATCCATACTCCTCTTTCAGGGGAGCGCTGGGGGGGGGGCACTAAGTAGCTTGTTTCAGCAGACCTTACCTTTCCCTGCCCTTTCCCTCTGCACTCTTGTCACCCCCTCTCCCTCTGCAACCCTGCCACCCTGCAACCCTGTCTGCATCACCCCGGTCCCACCACTCCTGGAGAATGCAGAACCTTTCTGCAGAAAGGTCGTGTCCGTAATGGAAACAACGCCCATGGCCTTTTCCACGGTGTCTGTCTGAGCTCCAGGGAGAGAGCCCCAGCTATTTATAGACTCCTGGTAATCTGGAAATGTAGTGCCTTCAGAAAATATTCATGTTTAGAGAATTCATACAAAATTAAAAGCTGAAATGTCTTGAGTCAATAAGTATTCAACCCCTTTGTTATGGAAAGCCTAAATAAGTTCAGGGGTAAAAATTTGCTTAAAAATGTGCGTGGGAATCGAACCCACAACCCTGGCGTTGCAAGCGCCATGCTCTACCAACTGAGCTACACGGGGGAACTAACACTGTGTGCAATAATATATTTTAACATGATTTTTGAATGACTACCACATCTCTGTACCCTACACATACAATTATCTGTAAGGTCCCTCAGTCGAGCAGTGAATTTCAAACACATATTCAACCACAAACACCAGGGAGGTTTTCCAATGCCTTGCAAAGAAGGGCACCTATTGGTAGATGGTTCAAAATAAAAAAGCAGACGTTGAATATCCCTTTGAGCACGGCAAAGTTATTCATTACACCTTGGATGGTGTGTCAATACAACCGGTCGCTACAAAGATACAGGCGTCCTATCTAACTCAGTTGCCAGAGAGGAAGGAAACCACTCAGGGATTTAACCATGAGGCCAATGGTGACTTTAAAACAGTTACAAAGTTTAATGGCTGTGATAGGAGAAAACTGAGGATGGATCAACAACATTATAGTTACTCCACAATACTAACCTAAATGACAGAGTGAAAAGAAGGAAGCCTGTACAGAATAAAAATATTCCAAAACATGCATCCTGTTTGTAACAAGGCACTAAAGTAATACTGCAAAAAATGTGGCAAAGCAATTCACTTTTTGTCCTGAATACAAAGTGTTATGTTTGGGGCAAATCCAATACAACACATTACTGAGTACCATTCTCCATATTTTCAAGCATATTGGTGGCTCCATCATGTTATGGGTTTGTGTGTAATCATTAAGGACTTGGGAGTATTTTAGGATAAAAAATTAATGGAATGGAACTAAGCACAGGCAAAATCCTAGAGGAAAACCTAGTTCAGTCTGCTTTGCACCAGACACTGGGAGATGAATTCACCTTTCAGCAGGACAATAACCTAAAACACAAGGCCAAATCTACACTGGAGTTTCTTACCAAGAAGACAGTGAATGTTCCTGAGTAGCTTAGTTACAGTTTTGACTTAAATCTACTTGAAAATCTATGGCAAGACGTGAAAATGGTTCTCTAGCATTGATCAACAACCAATTTGACAGAATAATGGGCAAATGTTGCACAATCCAGGTATTTAAAGCTCTTAGAGACTTACCCAGAAAGACTCACAGCTGTAATCGCTGCCAAAGGTACTTCTACAAAGTATTGACTCAGGGGTGTGAATACTTATGTAAATTTGATATGTATTTTCAATACATTTGCTAAAAATTCTAAAAACCTGTTTTCGCTTTGTCATTATGGGGTATTGTGTGTAGATGGGTGAGAAAATACATCTATTTAATCCATTTTGAATGTGGAATAAGTCAAAGGGTATGAATACTTTCTGAAGGCACTGTATGTGTATATGTACTCTATCTATCTATCTATATATATACAGTCGTGGTCAAACGTTTTGAGAATTACACAAATACTAATTTTCTAAAGTCTGCTGCCTCAGTTTTGATGATGGCAATTTGCATATACTCCAGAATGTCATGAAGAGTAATCAGATGAATTGCAATTAATTGCAAAGTCCCTCTTTGCCATGAAAATGAACTTAATCCCCAAAAAACATTTCCACTGCATTTCAGCCCTGCCACAAAAGGACCAGCTGCCATCATGTCAGTGATTCTCTCGTTAACACAGGTGAGCGTGTTGACGAGGACAAGGCTGGAGATCACTCTGTCATGCTGATTGAGTTAGAATAACAGACTGGAAGCTTTAAAAGGAGGGTGGTGCTTGAAATCATTGTTCTTCCTCTGTTAACCATGGTTACCTGCAAGGAAACACGTGGCGTCATCATTGCTTTGCACAAAAGGGATTCACAGGCAAGGATATTGCTGCTAGTAAGATTGCACCTAAATCAACCATTTATCAGATCATCAAGAACTTCTAGGAGAGAGGTTCAATTGTTGTAAAGAAGGCGTCAGGGCGCCCAAGAAAGTCCAGCAAGCGCCAGGAACGTCTCCTAAAGTTGATTCAGCTGCGGGATCGGGGCACCACCAGTGCAGAGCTTGCTCAGGAATGGCAGCAGGCAGGTGCGAGTGCATCTGCACGCACAGTGAGGCAAAGACTTTTGGAGGATGGCCTGGTGTCAAGAAGGGCAGCAAAGAAGCCACTTCTCTCCAGGAAAAACATCAGGGACAGACTGATATTCTGCAAAAGGTACAGGGATTGGACTGCTGAGGACTGGGTAAAGTCATTTTCTCTGATGAATCCCCTTTCCGATTGTTTGGGGCATCCGGAAAACACCTTGTCCGGGGAAGACAAGGTGAGTGCTACCATCAGTCCTGTGTCATGCCAACAGTAAAGCATCCTGAGACCATTCATGTGTGGGGTTGCTTCTCAGCCAAGGGAGTGGGCTCACTTACAATTTTGCCTAAGAACACAGCCATGAATAAAGAATGGTACCAACACATCCTCCGAGAGCAACTTCTCCCAACCATCCAAGAACAGTTTGGTGATGACCAATTCCTTTTCAAGCATGATGGAGCATCTTACCATGAGGCAAAAGTGATAACTAAGTGGCTCGGGGAACAAAACATCAAAATGTTGGGTCCATGGCCAGGAAACTCCCCAGACCTTAATCCCATTGAGAACTTGTGGTCGATCCTCAAGAGGCAGGTGGACAAACTAAAACCCACAAATTCTGACAAACTCCAAGCATTGATTATGACAGCATGCCAGGGCGGATTGCAGAGGTCTTGAAAAAGAAGGGTCAACACTGCAAATATTGACTCTTTGCATAAACGTAATGTAATTGTCAATAAAAGCCTTTGACACTTATGGAATGCTTGTAATTATACTTCAGTATACCATAGTAACATCTGACAAAAATATCTCATAACACTGAAGCAGCGAACTTTGTGAAGACCAATACTTGTGTCATTCTCAAATCTTTTGACCACGACTGTATATATGTGTGTGACTGGGTGAATGTGGTGTACCATACTATGCCTACAGGCCCAGCAGCTGTATACTCACTGAGCCACTGTCAGCAAACAGTTAGGTTAGTAACTGTAATGTAATGAGTGTATCATTACTTTAGTATTATCAGTGTATCGTCATTACTACTGTGTATCACCATTACTACTGTGTATCATCCTTACTACTGTGTATCATCCTTACTACTGTGTATCACCATTACTACTGTGTATCATCCTTACTACTGTGTATCACCATTACTACTGTGTATCATCCTTACTACTGTGTATCATCCTTACTACTGTGTATCATCCTTACTACTGTGTATCACCATTACTACTGTGTATCATCCTTACTACTGTGTATCATCCTTACTACTGTGTATCATCCTTACTTGTTGCAGGCTGCAGACCTTTCTGTGCAGTGGCTATGCATCTGTTAGATCTTCGAGTCATGTGATATTTGACAACATGCCATACTGGACATTCCTTGTGAAATATGACCTCTAACCTTTTCCCTCAACTCCCCCCTCTACCCCCCCCCCCCCCCCCCCCCCCCCCCCACCCCCACCCCCCCCACCCCCACACTGTGTCCAGCCACTGCAGCAGCCCATAATACCAACCCTCTAAGTGCTTGACAATTCCGCGGAGGCTGTTGCCGTGGGCAGCGATGATGACGTTCTTGCCGGCCTGGATCTCAGGTGCGATGACATCGTTCCAGTAGGGCAGGGCACGGGCAATAGTGTCCTTCAGGGACTCACATGTGGGCAGCTCACCGGGCTTCAGGCCCTTGTAGCGCCTTGACTGGTGGGAGGACAGAACAGCATGTTGGGTTACACTGCTCAAATGTATCATCACAACAGTAGGTGTGATCTAACATCCTAGAGGGCTGCAAACGAAACCTGGCAAATACGTAGTACCTCAAGCAGTACACGTACAGTACATGTTTAGGCTCATACAAGTAACAAGTAGTCTTACATGAGAAGTCATAGAATTTCATCCAACGCTCTTCCATTCATTCAATGCTGTTTTACTTCAACTGACACCTGCAAGTCTTAGTGTTGCAGGATCTCCTAAGCAAGTCATAAATATCCTGAAATTGTCTGGTTTCCTTGTAAGATGGGAACATATTCTAGGGGTAGTTGTACATAACGTTTTAAAATAATGTGTCAGGTGTTATTATTCTATGTTAGCAATCACAGACCTAAAATGTGGATCACAAGTCTGTTTTGTGTAGTACTATTATGCACCACCACCAACATCACCCCTCTTACCTCACTGATGATCTTGTGGAAGGCGTGGTCGTGTTCCATGGGGGGAGGGGGGGTGTCGAAGGAACGACGCCAGATCTTGACCTGCTCCTCTCCATGCTTCTCGGCTGTCTCTGCCTTGTTAAGACCTGTCAGGCCGCCGTAGTGGCGCTCGTTCAGACGCCATGTGCGGTACACAGGCAGCCACATCTGGTCTGTGCCCTCCAGGATGGTCCACAGGGTCTTGACGGCGCGCTTCAGCACAGATGTGTGGCAGATGTCGAACTTCATGCCGGCGTCCTTGATGGCCATGGCACCACGCTTGGCCTCCTCCAGGCCCTTCTCGCTGAGGTCGGCATCAAACCAGCCGCAGAATTTGTTGTACTGGTTCCACTCACTCTCGCCATGACGGACGATCACCAATTTATGGGCAGTAGTCATGCTTGCAGTGTTGCTTTAAATTTCTTTACCAAACACACGAGACACGGCCCTCCGTTATGGTACACACACACACTCTGAGACCAACAGTGACCCCGAGCGATTCCTGCCACACTCTTTTTATATACTTTGGAATGAGGCCCTGCGTAGCAGCAGGGCGTAAACTGCTCTCCACCAATGAGGGCACTTCACCCCCTGATGGACAGCTAGGCTCAGCCAATAGGGCAGGGCCTCCCATGGACTGGAGGGACATGTCCCAGCTGGGAAGGGCAGAGGTCAGGGATTGAGCTAAAATAGCAACATGACTTTTAAACCGAGAGCTGTGGAATAACAGTGTAAAGATCAGAGTAAGCTGCTGCTGCTGAGGCACTGTAGAGTGCATAGGAGGCTGCTAAGGGGAGGATGGCTCATAATAATGGCCGGAACGGAGCGAATGGAATGGCATCAAACACATGAAAACCATGTGTTTGATGTATTTGATACCATTTCACTTATTACGCTCCAGCCATTACCACGAGCCCATCCTCCCCAAATAACAACAATTGCCAACAACCTTCTGTGTAGAGTGTCTGTAGAGTTTCTGAGAGTTTCTGACATCAATGAAAGACAGTGGAATTAGTTATCTAACTACAAAACTATTACTGATACAGGCAACTATACCATGCAATGAGGTAGTAGTGACTAGGGAAAAACAGACTAAAACATTCTGCCTCAACATGGGGTTACGTTACGGGGAGCTATAGGGCTGTGTACTTTTTTGAATACCACTAAGGGTACGGTACCAGTTGTATAATATCACACAAACTCCAGTAGGCCTACTGTATAATATCACACAAACTCCAGTAGGCCTACTGTATAATATCACACAAACTCCAGTAGGCCTTCTGTATAATATCACACAAACTCCAGTAGGCCTACTGTATAATATCACACAAACTCCAGTAGGCCTACTGTATAATATCACACAAACTCCAGTAGGCCTACTGTATAATATCACACAAACTCCAGTAGGCCTACTGTATAATATCACAAATACTCGAAAGAACACACAATAGAAACTGTACTTATTTCTGGTACAACCATTATTAGGTCTCCACAGGACAACTGTAGTCCACTACAGTGTAGTTACATGGTAAACAAATACTTATTTGGTATGTATGAAATTCTATGTAGAAATGCACCAAGGTTTGAAACCGATCCTACCACCCACTTAAACTCTGGGGCCAGCACAGGTGAAAATACTGATTTGGCATTAAACTGACTGAGAGTCAGGGCTGAGCCCAAACTATAGGGCCAAATCAATCAATGCGCCCTTCTATCAATCAAAAGTATGAGCCACATTCAGAAAAGAGAGAAATACAATATCAGCAAATACAATATTAATGGAACTCTGGGCATGTAGCCAATCTGTATATCTTATATCACAAAAAAGGGCAGAGAGATAGAGGAATTACAAAGACAGAGAAATACTGAGGATGCTGCAGTGAGCGAACGAGAGAGAGAGAAAGAGAGCGAGATAGAGAGAGAGAGAAGAGCGGGAAAGAGAGAGAGAAAGCAGGTAAAGCTGAAAGAGAGGGGAGCATGAGAAAGAAGTGGAGAGGAGATTGTGGGGCTGGGGATGGAGGGTGGTGTGGAGGGAATGGGGGTCCTGGGTGAGTACTACTGTATTCAGGGCTGGCTCTAGATTTTTGGGGTCCTAGGCAAAATATATTTTTACAACATGGGGTGTAAAGAAAATGTTGCAGTTTCATAGCAGGTTTGCTGCAATTCTACACATTTGCTACTCTCACTCACATCTGAGTGAGAGTGACTAACAAAATCAATGGGGGCCCCCTAGAGGTCAGGGTAATTTGACTATGATAACTACAAGTATAGATAGCTAGCTAGACTACCTTACTAATCTAAAACATTTTAGCTGACATGGGCTAATTGAGTGATTGTCAGTGACTGACATGGGCTAATTGAGTGACTGTCAAAATGCTAATGCACAACCAAATGTCTAAATTGCACCTTGTACACTCTACTATTCTAACTCTCAACAGTAAGTTGAGCCACCGACTGAGTTCTTAAAATGCTTGGGGCTTATGTCATTTATGCCTGGAACCTGTCCTGACTTTACTGATGACTCAGCTTGCGGCAGCACCCCGCACCTACTGTCCCTTCATGCCTTCTGCTTTAAGAACTGTCAGCAAAATACACACATACAAAAGAGATACACAAACACACTTAAATTCATACACTCTCCTCAAATGTGTACAGCCAAAATACACTATATACTGCACCTAAACATGGACTCATACCAGCCTGTTCTCTCAGCAGATCCTCATACTATGCTCAAATGTATGGCAAGTCACTGTGCTATCCATTCCTTGAGTCAACAGTCTGGGGCAGTATAAAATGTGTATCTCCCCCACCCCCCTCAGGAGGAGGAGGAAGAGGAAGAGGAAGAGGAAGAGAATGAAGTGTGTGTCAGCAGGGAGGAAGCAGAGTGTTATTGACCAGTTATGGTTCCCTCTTCACACTGCAGCTGAAAGATAGGGAATTAGGGAATTAACATGTCAATATAAAAAAGACCATTCAACTTCTCTTCAAACCCCTCTGTGTCTCTTCCAGCTAAGGCGATCATGAAAATGTATTTGAATTAATATGACCTATTTTGTATAATAGATGCATGATCTATTATTATTATTATCAATGCATTATCATCCCAAAAACTCAAATAAATCTTCACAGACATTGTCACATGTATACACATTATCATTACAGCATCTGACACAGAACCACACAAGTATCTACAGGCACCAAACAGCAGCTTCCCAGCCATAATGTACAGTTGAAGTCGGAAGTTTACATACACCTTAGCCAAATACATTTAAACTCAGTTTTTCACATTTCCTGACATTTAATCCTAGTAAAAATTCCCTGTCTTAGGTCAGTTAGGATCACCACTTTATTTTAAGAATGTGAAATGTCAGAATAATAGTAGAGAGAATGATTTATTTCAGCTTTTATTTCTTTGATCACATTCCCAGTGGGTCAGAAGTTTACATACACTCAATTAGTATTTCGTAGCATTGCCTTTAAATTGTTTAACTTGGGTCAAACGTTTCGGGTAGCCTTCCACAAGCTTCCCACAATAAGTTGGGTGAATTTTGGCCCATTCCTCCTGACAAAGCTGGTGTAACTGAGTCAGGTTTGTAGGCCTCCTTGCTCGCAAACGCTTTTTCAGTTCTGTCCACACATTTTCTATAGGATTGAGGTCAGGGCTTTGTGATGGCCACTCCAATACCTTGACTTTCTTGTCCTTAAGCCATTTCGCCACAACCTTGGAAGTATGCTTGGGGTCATTGTCCATTTGGAAGACCCATTTGCGACCAAGCTTTAACTTCCTGACTGATGTCTTGAGATGTTGCTTCAATATATCCACATAATTTTCCTTCCTCATGATGCCATCTATTTTGTGAAGTGCACCAGTCCCTCCTGCAGCAAAGCACCCCAACAGCATGATGCTGCCACCCCCGTGCTTCACAGTTGGGATGGTGTTCTTTGGCTTGCAAGCTGCCCCTTTTTTCCTCCAAACATACCGATGGGCATTATGGCCAAACAGTTCTATTTTTGTTTCATCAGACCAAAAGGTGCAATCTTTGTCCCATTGTGCAGTTGCAAACCGTAGTCTGGCTTTTTAATGGCGGTTTTGGAGCAGTGGCTTCTTCCTTGCTGAGCGGCCTTTCAGGTTATGTCGATATAGGACTTGTTTTACTGTGGATATAGATACTTTTGTGCCTGTTTCCTCCAGCATCTTCACAAGGTCCTTTGCTGTTGTTCTGGGATTGATTTGCACTTTTCGCACCAAAGTACGTTCATCTCTAGGAGACAGAACGCATCTCCTTCCTGAGCGGTATGACGGCTGCGTGGTCCCATGGTGTTTATACTTGCGTACTATTGTTTGTACAGATGAACGTGGTACCTTCAGGCGTTTGGAAATTGCTCCCAAGGATGAATCAAACTTGTGGAGGTCTACAATAATTTTTTTGAGGTCTTGGCTGATTTCTTTATATTTTCCCATGATGTCAAGCAAAGAGGCACTGAGTTTGAAGGTAGGCCTTGAAATACATCCACAGGTACACCTCCAATTGACTCAAATGATGTCAATTAGCCTATCAGAAACTTCTAAAGCCATGACATCATTTTTTGGAATTTACCAAGCTGTTTAAAGGCACAGTCAACTTAGTGTATGTAAACTTCTGACCCACTGGAATTGTGATACAGTGAATTATAAGTTAAATAATCTGTCTGTAAACAATTGTTTGAAACATTGCTTCTGTCATGCACAAAGTAGATGTCCTAACCAACTTGCCAAAACTATAGTTTGTTAACAAGAGATTTGTGGAGTGGTTGAAAAACGAGTTTGAATGACTCCAACCTAAGTGTATGTAAGCTTCCGACTTCAACTGTATAAATAAACAAGCACTGTATATTTGGCCACATACCATGCAGCCGCGTGTTCAGTGTTTATCATTGCAGGTTTTCTGTGGTCATGGGTGTCGCTCTCCTATTGGCCAGCAGGGCAGGTGCTGTATGAGGAAAGCTGTGTATAATATCAATGCATAGGCTGCTGTAGAATCAGGACAGCCCATTCATTTTATTCCCCTACAGAGAGTACTACGAGACCTACATTCAAATTACTCCAAACTCAAGTCATCTCATAAGACTATTCATTTTTACTATCGGTGCAGGTACAGTGCAGATAATATACTTCACTAGCCAGAGGCTTTAGCTATCTAACTCTACTTTCCTGAACATTAACTTGTGAATATTAGTAGTCAAGGTTACTGTGTATGACAGAAACAGTGTAAAGAAACTAGAAACGTGTTAACCTCCTTTGTACCATCAAAAACACAATCATCTCTCCATCTGCAACCTTTCCCTTTCCCTCTATCTCTCCCTGTATATCCTTCCCTCCCCCTCTCTCTCCGTCTTTCCTTTCCTTTCTCCCTCTCTGTCCGTTGCAGTGCAAGCCTATCGATCCCACCTAGTCAGAGTTTGGTAATGCGCTTGCGTCAGAGCTCTCCCTCCTGCTATAAAAGCTGGAGCCACTGCAGCAGCATCAGTCTGGGTTCTTCAGCTGAGCCCTACAGACACATTCACACAGAGCCAGACAGAGCAGCCTGTCCTCACAGCACAGCACAGCCATGAGTACCCTCGGCTTTGACCCTTACTACTCATCCTCCTCCTATCGGCGCTGGTATGTGGAGGGAGCCCCCCGCGGAGTGGTGACCAGGGGGAGGTCACGATCGGCCTACTCCTCCCACGCCTCCCCCCTCTCCTCCTCCATGAGCTCCCGTCTGCAGTACTCCTCTCCTGGCCGGTCTCTGCATTCATCCATGGCCTCTTCCGTGGAGCTGGAGCTGAGCCAGGCGGCCCAGGTGAGCTCTGAGTTCCGCACGGTGAGGACCCAGGAGAGGGCCCAGCTGCAGAACCTCAATGACCGCTTCGCCGGTTTCATCGAGCGAGTACGGGAGCTGGAGCAGCAGAACCGTGCGCTGGAGGCTGATTTGGTGATGCTGAGGCAAAGGCACAGTGAACCATCCCGCCTGGCGGCCCTGTATGAGCAGGAGGTGCGGGCCCTGAGGGCCGCCGTGGAGGAGGCACGTGGGGAGCAGCAGGCCGCCCTGGGCCAGAGGGAGCATCTGGAGCAGACCCTGAGCGCCCTGCAGGCCCGCTACGAGGAGGAGGTGATGGCCCGTGAGGACGCAGAGGGCAGGCTGCTGGATGCACGGCGTGGGGCCGACCAGGCCGCCCTCGCCAGGGCTGAGCTGGAGAAGAGGGTGGAGACCCTGCTGGACGAGGTGGCCTTCCTCCAGAGGCTCCACGAGGGGGAGGTGGTGGAGCTCCAGGCCCAGGCCCAGCTGGGGGCCCAGGTAGCTGTGGAGATGGAGGCAGCCACGCCGGACCTGTCCGGTGCTCTGAGGGACATCCGGGCCCAGTACGAGAGGCTGGCGGCCAAGAACATGCAGTCTGCTGAGGAGTGGTTCCATGGGAAGGTGGGCTCCCTGACGGAGAGCGTGGCCCAGCACAGCGACGCAGTGAGGAGCTCCAGGGATGAGGCAGGGGAGTACCGCCGGCAGCTCAAGGCCCACCTGCTGGAGATCGATGCCTGCAGGGGCCTCAACAAGTCTCTGGAAAAACAGCTACACGACATGGAGGACAAGCAGAGCGCTGAGATCAGCAGCATGCAGGTCAGTGGTGGTACTGCAGACGAATTTCAACAGCAAATCTGGATTGATGCAAATACCTCAGAATGAATGCAATCTGAATGTGAATTTATTTCATAATTGCATGTTTAGAAACTGTTTACCAATAGGTAAATTACTATGTCAGAATACAAGACACCAATAATGTTTTATATTTTGTGCCAAGTGGAACTGATTTAGTAACGCACAATGGGAACAAATAAGATTCTATTGAATACATGTTTTATTTTTATGGCCACATTCAACCGTTTTAGGCATATTACCTGAACCTGTGTAGCCCACTGTAAAAAAAAAAAAAACTAACTTTATCCACTACATAACCTTTAAATGTCTCCCGTAGGACACTATTGGCCAGCTGGAGAATGAGCTGAGAGCCACCAAGCAGGAGATGGCTCGCTACCTGAAGGACTACCAGGACCTGCTGAATGTTAAGATGGCCTTGGACATTGAGATCGCTGCCTACAGGTAGGATGCTATGATGAGCACTAGCCAGAGCTTCAGCTTAAACAAATGTAATGTAATAATACCAATGACAGTCCAGGTCAAGGAAAGCCTTTTGTGCTTTTATTCTAAAACGTTATCTTTCCCATGATCCTTTACTTCTCCAGGAAGCTGCTGGAGGGGGAGGAGTCTCACTTCAGTGTGGGCGTGTTAGGGGGTATGTCCAGTGTCTATGGCCACACCTTGTCAGTCACACCCTCCTTCGGCCGCTCCATGTTCTCAATGCAGTCTAGCCTGAGCTCTGGCGCCCCCTACCTGATGACCTCGCGCTTACTCAGCTCCTCATTTGCCTCTGGAGATGACATAATCTCTGCCAGCCTGGCCCAGCGGGACTCTGCCAGCCCACCACAGGAGGAGGAAGAGGAAGCGGAAGAGAAGGAAGAGGAGGGACAGGAGGAGGAAGAAGAGGGTGGAGAAGAGAACGAGGAAGGTGGGGATGAGGGAGGCGAGGAGGAGAAGGAAGATGGAGAACAAGGTTAGCATTGGGATTTTCCCTCAAAAAATACTCTCTATTGTTGTTGTGTATTGCTTAGATGTTGACATTTTTACAAACCTGAATACTAACTAAATTATTCCCCTATTCACAATTATTTCTGTTTTTTGGTATAGGTGGTGATGAGGAAGAAGAGAAGGAAGAAACTGCAAAGGAGGATGGAGAGAAAGCGGAAGATAAGGACGAGGGTGGGGAGCAGGATGGAAAGGAAGGCAAGGAAGAGGAGGGGGGAGAGAAAGAGGGAGGAGATGATAAAGAAGGGTGTGATAAAGATGAAGAGGTGAAAGATGAGGATAAAAAAGATGCCGAAGCAGATACCAAAGAAGAGAAGGGTGAACCAGAGATATCCAAGAGTGAGGAGAAGAGAGAAACACCTGCCAAAGAGAAGAAAGACGAATCTGAAAAACCAAAGGCTAAAAAGTAAGTTTGTGGCCCAAGAACACACAAGCCAAAAGACAGACTAACAAAACCTCAGCTCGGCAAACAGCAGAAATACCCAACATTAACGACTCCAGTGTGCTTGTAACAAGGTGCTCAATACAATACGTATTTTAGTGCACTAATGCATCAAAATCAAGGTTAACTGCTTAAAGTTATAAGTCAATAAAGTCAATAAAGGTCACACAATTCCTCAAGTGTGTGTGTAAGAGTGTGTGTGCTGTGCCTGTGCAAGTCTGTGAGAGTGTGGTTTTGGATGGTTGAATAAATACTATTGAAAGCCATGCAGAATGTATTAGATTGTTTTTGTCCTTATACTGAATAATAACTCAGTAAACAGTCTGTTAATCCTTTGGGTTTTATCATTTCCAAGTTAGATCTGTTGAAACGCAACAACAAAGATGAAATGTTGAATATATTATTGATAAATCTTGAAGGTGCTTAAAAATATGACCACATAGTTAACCACAATGTGAATACATATAAGGCCTGTTGTTCATCATACATGACAGCAGGTCCTTACTCAATTAATTAATTAAAACATTAACAGGTTATGTTTCATGATTTATAAACGGTTTATAAATGTTGAAAAAAACGATTTATTAAATGGGTTATAAGCCGCATGTAAGAAGACATTAGAATAACACAACCATTAGTCTCTCTGTCCACATTTGGACATTTTGCTGTAGGTCACACACACACACACACACACACACACACACACACACACACACACACACACACACACACACACACACACATATACATGTGCACACACACACACACACATACACACACACACACACACACACAGGTGTAAGTGTGTTGTACAGAATTAGATATCTCTGTGTGTTGCACTTCAGGTAACCTGTCCACACTGCTGATCATGAATGGCGAACACAGCTAGTTCTCTGGGTTTGGAGTTGTCCACGTTGACATTCGGGGCACGCAGGCACAATCACAACACACTGGCAGGGACCTGACCATTTTATGTACATTGTTCCCTCTTGAGGGAGCACTGACCTTGCAAGGTCCACATCAGAGGCTCTATCAGCTATGCAGCTCAGGTCCAGTGTGTCTGAGAAACAGATGCTGAGGAACGGGAGGAACTTCAGAGTGTGATGGCATTTTTATTGCCTAATTTCAGGGCTGAGAACGATCAAATCTGGGATCATCGTGTGTTTTTATTGCTATTAAGACATTGAAATACTGAGGAGCTGATTTTATGACTCTTCGCTATTTAGTTGCTTCCTTCAGCACTCTACGTGAGTGCTGAGCTAAAATCCTGAGAGGAAGAATATTAGCAATCAGCAGTCACCCAGGGACAGCACTAAAGCTGGACAGTAGGCTATTGGTACCCAACATGTCTGCTATTTAATATAATAATCACATTTTAAATTCTAAACAACCTAAATCGCTTCAAACAAGCAAAGCTGCATTGCAGAGGTGTGGATACACTGCCTTCAGGAAATATTCACACCCCTTGACTTTTTCCATATTTGTTTTGTTACAACCTGAATTTAAAATGAATTAAATTGAGATTGTGTGTCACTGGCCTACACACATTACCCCATAACGTCACAGTGGAATTATGTATTTAGACATGTCTTGAGTCAATAATTGTTCAACCCCTTTATTATGGCAAGCCTAAATAAGTTTAGGTGTAAAAATGCAGTTCAAGAAAGAGTTAAGAAAATATTTACCAAATAAACTAAAGCTAAAAATAATAGAAAGTAGCACAATAAAATAACAATAACGAGGCTATATACAGGGGGTACCAGTACCGAGTCAATGTGCGGGGGTATAAGTTAGTTGAGGTAATCTGTACATGTAGGTAGGGGTAAAGTGACAGCGGGTTGCAGGGGGGGGGGGGGGGGGGGGGGGGGGGGGGGGTTGGAAGTGTCATTGTAAATAGTCCGGCTGGCCATTTAATAGTTTGTTGGTGATGTGGACACCAATGAACTTGAAACTCTCGACCCGCTCCACTACAGGCCGTCGATGTGAATGGGGGCATGTTCGGCCCTCCTTTTCCTGTAGTCCACGATCAGCTCCTTTGTCTTGCTCACATTGAGGGAGAGGTTGTTTTCCTGGCATCAAACTGCCAGGTCTCTGACCTCCTGCTTGGCCACTCAGTCGTGGGTGAACAGGGAGTACAGGAGGGGACTAAGAATACACCCTTGAGGGGCCCTAGTGTTGAGGATCAGCGGATGTGTTGTTGCCTACCCTTACCACCTGGGGGCGGCCCGTCAGGAAGTCAAGGATCCAGTTGCAGAGGGAGGTGTTTAGTCCCAGGGTCCTTGCATTCTCACATAGGTGTTCCTTTTGTCCAGGTGGGAAAGGGCAGTGTGGAGTGCGATTGAGACTTTTAGCCCCTTTTCTCCCCAATTGGTAGTTTACAGTCTTGTCCCATCGCTGCAACTACCCTACGGACTCGGGAGAGGCGAAGGTCGAGAGCCATTCGTCCTCCGAAACACTGCACTGCTTCTTGACACACTGCTCGCTTAACCCAGAAGCCAGCTGCACCAATGTGTCAGAGGAAACACCGTCCAGCTGGCGACCGAAGTCAGCTTGCAGGTATCCGGCACGATGGGACAAGGAAATCCCGGCCTGCCAAACCCTCCCCTAACCCGGACGACACTGGGCCAATTGTGCGCCGCCTCATGGGTCTTCCGTTCACGGCCGGCTGTGACGCAGCCTGGGATCAAACCCGGGTCTGTAGTGACGCCTCAAGCACGATGCAGTGCCTTAGACCGCTGCGCCACTCGGGAGGCCCAAATTGGAAGTTCTTAATGTTTTGTACACTCAGTGTATGTGGCTTTCAAAGAAACCTCTTCAGGGATTTTCCCAGTGTGGCTGCGCCTGAGAAAGTCGCTGTCCACTTTTCTGTGGTGCTGAAATTCCGAACGAGTCGCTGTCTGCTTCAATGTTGCTGAATCTCCAAATGACCTATCACTCCATTGTTTAAGTTGTCATGTAAAATACTTTAAAATAGGTATAGTTTCAAATCATGTTTAACATTGGAGGTAATGTTGTTCTCAAATAATATAGCTAATGGCTGAAAGACTACTATATCATATACTGTACATCTCTGTCTAAATCTTTCATATTAGTCTCTCATGTCCACTGTTGTTTTACTATCTTAATTCATCTATCTGAATTGTATATTTGTCTCGAAATATATATATGTATTTTTTTTATCACTTATTATTATTTTATTTATGTGCAGTATGTGAAGCACTTTGCACTGCATTTGTCTTTGGTAAGAAATGTTCTATGCAAATAATGCTTGATTTTATTTGATAAATCAACTGCTAATCAAGTGCTATTTGCATGGGGTGCATTGTTCACATTATTGTTGGTTTCTTTGATGATATGCACATATTACCTACCGATTGTGGCTTTAAATATCAGTAGAGGATAGCCTGTGGATGTTTATGTGGTTTTGTATAATTCTAGGCTACAAATGAAAGTGAGGGATGCAATCCCATCCCCATAAAAGCAGATGAGGAAGTTGAATATTGTGTGCATATTGTGGTGAGAAAGCTACTGTAAATAAAATCACGAATTCAGCCGAGGCTGCCCCTCCTCCTTGCTCGGGCAGGTTTCGGCGTTCGTCGTCACCGGCTTACTAGCCACTACCGCTCCATTTATCATCACTCCATTTGTCTTGTCTTGTCTTGTCAATCACACACACCTGGTACTCATTCCCTCATTAATCTGTGTATAAGTGTTCCCTCTGCCCCCTTGTCCTTTGTGAGTGATTGTTCGTTGTGAGAGTGAGTAGCTCGATTTAGCTACTCTTTACTTGTATGCAGCCAAGGTTGATTTCCCCTTGTGCTAGTTTCGTTCTGTCACTATATGTGCTATATTATTGTACACTGAATAAACTCTTGATTTCTGTGTTTTACCTCCTGCGCCTGACTCCGTCATTCACACGTCATCACAGAATCACTCACCCAATATGGGAGAAGAGCGCACACCTGGAATCGTGGCAAGGATCTAGGAGCATTCCACGATGCTGGCCAGCTTGGGGAAAGCGATGGATCGGGTTCTTCAGGTTGTCCAACACCTGGAGAGAAGAGGAACCGATCTGTCGAGACCAGCTGGCCAACCGGATCCAGCCACCTACATCACAGCACCCGGAGGGATCCAGATATCCCGACATCGGGCGTTCGATGGGACGCCGGCTCTATGTCAGGGATTCCTTCTCCAACTAGAGCTGTACTGCTCCAGTGTCAGGCCGGCGCCATCAGATCGAGAGCAGGTGTCCGTCCTCATTTCCTGCCTCTCGGAGAAAGCCCTGGAGTGGGCCAACGCGGTTTGGAGAGAAGGTGGAGCCGCGTTGGAGGACTACAGGGAGTTTGCCCGCCTATTTCGGGCGGTGTTCGATCACCCGCCCGAGGGTCGAGAGGCGGGTGAGCAGCTGGTCCACTTGAGGCAGGGGACGAGGACAGTACAGGAGTTGGCACAGGGTCCGGGTGGAACGAGCGGGCCCTGATCAACCAGTTCTGGTGCCATCTACGGGAGGACGTCCGATGGGAGCTAGCCTGCAGTGACACCAGTTTGTCTTTTACCGAACTGGTGGACATGGCCATTCGTCTGGATAACCTGCTGGCAACCAGAGGACATCCTGGAGGAAGTCTGCCCGTTCCCACCCCGACCGACGCGGATCCAGAGCTCATGGAGCTGGGTGGTACCATGCACCGAGAGAGCGGAGGACGGCAGCGCCAGTTCCACTCGGATGGCACGAAGGGACATTCCACCACACATTGTCGTCAGCGCTCTTTTGGGTCAGGAGGCGGCCGGCAGGGCACTCTCGCATCACCCCAGGTATTGAGCACCCACTCTTGTTCAGAGCCCTCTGCTGAGCACTGTACTATACCCATATACTTCTCTGATCACATGAGAGTTCCCCAGTGTAAGGCGCTAGTCGATTCAGGCGCAGCTGGGAACTTTATTTACAAAACTTTCGCACGCCGCCAGGGCATTTCATTAGTTCCCCTATCCATTCCACGCCCCATCAGAGCACTTGATAGTCAACCATTAGGGTCCGGGTTGATAAAGGAAGTCACGGTACCAGTCACCATGATCACACAGGAGACGCATTGTGAGCAGGTCACTTTTTCCATCATTGAGTCTCCTGCTTTCCCTGTGGTGTTAGGTATTCCATTGCTAGCACTCCACAACCCCACTTTCTCATGGCCGCAGAGGGTTCTCACGGAGTGGTCACGAGAGTGTCAGGGTAGGTGTATGGGTGGTGCAACCACGGTGGAAAGTCCAGACGGTGCCTCCACCGTGCTCAATAAACCTTGGGTAGACGCTGTACCTCCCAGGAGTCATGTGTATCCCCTGTCACAGGCGGAGACGGAGGCTATGGAGACATACATCACCGAGTCCCTGCGCCAGGGGTACATACGTCCCTCCACTTCACCCGCCTCCTCAAGTTTCTTTTTTGTGAAGAAGAAAGACGGCGGTCTGCGCCCGTGCATTGACCATCGACCACTGAACAAGGAGACGATTAGATTTAGTTATCCTCTCCCCCTCATTCCGTCAGTGGTTGAGTCATTGCATGGAGCGCGCTTCTTCACTAAATTAGATCTCAGGAGTGTGTACAACCAGATGCGTATCCGAGAGGGAGATGAGTGGAAGACAGCATTCAGCACAACCACAGGGCATTATGAATACCTGGTGATGCCCTATGGTTTGATGAATGCTCCCTCAGTCTTCCAGTCCTTTGTGAATGAGGTGTTTCGGGACATGCTTGGTCGCGGTGTAGTGGTCTACATCGACGACATCTTGGTGTATTCCTCTACGCGCGCCGAGCATGTGTCCCTGGTTCGCAAAGTACTGGCCCGACTGTTCGAAAATGACCTTTATGCTAAGGCAGAAAAGTGTACATTTTTCCAGCAGTCCGTCTCCTTCCTCGGATACCGCATTTCTACCACAGGTGTGGAGATGGAGGGCGACCGCATTGCAGCCGTGCGTAATTGGCCGACTCCAACCACGGTAAAGGAGGTGCAGCGCTTCCTTGGCTAAGCCAACTATTATCTGAGGTTTATCCGGGGCTTTGGCAAGGTCGCAGCTCCCATTACATCTCTGTTGAAGGGTGGGCCGCTGGTCTGCTGAGGCTGACAGGGCCTTCAGTAACCTGAGGGAACTGTTCACCTCGGCCCCGGTACTGGCCCACCCCAATCCATCATCACTACCGTTCGTAGTGGAGGTGGATGCGACCGAGGTTGGGATGGGAGCAGTCCTGTCTCAACGCTCGGGCACGCCAACCAAACTCCGCCCCTGTGCGTTCTTCTCAAAGAAGCTCAGCCCGGCGGAGCAGAACTACGGCGTTGGTGATCGGGAGCTGTTGGCTGTGGTCCGAGCTCTGACAGTGTGGAGACATTGGCTTGAGGGGGCGAAACACCCATTCCTCGTCTGGACGGACCACCGTAACCTGGAGTACGTCCGGGCAGCGAGGAGGCTGAACCCTCGCCAGGCCAGGTGGGCCCTATTCTTCACCCGGTTTGATTTCACACTGTCATACATTCCGGGTACGAAGAACGTGAAGGCAGACGCACTGTCCCGGCTGTATGATACAGAGGAGAGGCCCAGAGACAATACCCCTATATGCCAGACTCCTGCATTGTGGCGCCGGTAGTATGGGCGATGGACGCGGATATAGTGCAGGCATTACGCACAGATCCATCTCCACTGCAGTGTCCTGCTGGGCTGCAGTACATGCCTGCGCTTATCCGTGATCATCTGATCTACTGGGCACACACGTCACCCTCCTCTGGTCACCCAGATATCGGCCGTACAGTGCGCTGCTTGACCAAAAAGTACTGGTGGCCTACCTTGGCTAAGGACGTGAGGGTGTATGTTTCCTCCTGCTCAGTGTGCGCCCAGAGTAAGGCACCTAGGCACCTCCCATCGGGTAAGTTAAAACTTTTACCAGTTCCACAACGACCATGGTCTCATTTGAGTGTTGATTTTTTAACTGATCTGCCTCTCTCTCAAGGGAACACCACCATCCTGGTCGTTGTGGACCGCTTTTCGAAGGCCGCCTTCCTCTGCCCAGTCTCCCCACGGCTCTGCAAACTGCGGAGGCCCTGTTTACACACGTCTTCCGGCACTACGGGGTACCAGAGGATATAGTGTCTGACCGAGATCCCCAGTTCACGTCAAAAGTCTGGAAGGCGTTCATGGAACGTCTGGGGTACTGTCAAGAATTCAGCTAAGGCTGCCCCTCCTCCTTGCTCGGGCAGGTTTTGGCGTTCGTCGTCACCGGCTTACTAGCCACTACTGCTCCATTTATCATCACTCCATTTGTCTTGTCTTGTCTTGTCAATCACACACACCTGGTACTCATGCCCTCATTAGTCTGTGTATAAGTGTTCCCTCTTCCCCCTTGTCCTTTGTGAGTGATTGTTCGTTGTGAGAGTGAGTAGCTCGATTTAGCTACTCTTTACTTGTATGCAGCCAAGGTTGATTTCCCCTTGTGCTAGTTTCGTTCTGTCACTATATGTGCTATATTATTGTACACTGAATAAACTCTTGATTTCTGTGTTTTACCTCCTGCGCCTGACTCCGTCATCCACACCTCATCACAAGGACAGGACAATTGCATAAAGCAGGGGTGTCAGTGTTTGCGGGTTCTTGTTTTTTCCTTTAAATGAAGACCTAGACAACCAGGTGAGGGGAATTCCTTACTAATTAGTGACCTTAATTCATCAATCAAGTACAAGGGTGGAGTGAAAACCTGCAGACACTCTGCCCTCCATGGAATGAGTTTGACACGTGGCATAAAGGAACAAGAGACCATATTTGTATTTCAGTATGACATTTATTGAGCAAATGCTGCTGGGAAATCATTCATTATGAGTAAAGACATGGGATTGCAAACTGTAGCACCTCATTTATGTTCGGTATTTAAATTCAAGTCCATCCTATGCATACAATAATGTATGTGTGCGCATTTACAGATTTATTTTCAATTGCACTCGTTGGGTAAACATAATAGACACTGATACAAAGCATGTTTAAGGCTAGGAGTTTCTTCAAGGTTATTTATGCTTTAGTTGCTTCGGGTACTGTATGTTTATGATCATGAGTTCATTGCACCATCATCATTCTCTTTCTTCACTGTATTGTATTGTAGTCGATTGTATTTTTTGGCTCAGTTGGTATCTTCACATAATAGGTAAGGCTACTCCTTTGTCTCTAAAGTGCCCCCCCCCCCAAAAAAAAACTCATTTGAATGAAGATACATTTCTATCACTCTCCCATCCATCCATACATACAGGTTAGAGAGGGGACTCCCTCCCTGAGCTAGCATGCAGACGCCCCCACCCGTGAGCCCTCCTGTGAACTGCCGAAAGAAAGAAAATTAATAATCTGTTCCTTTCCCAAGTTTTCCTGACCGCATCTGCAGAAAAGCTCATTTATCGCTTTCACTCAACATGCATTTTTTAAATTTGAGCTTTGTTACATCATATGGCTTCTCTCTTTGCTTTTATGTATGTTTGAGAGTGGTTATCTTTATTACATCGCTCTAGCTGTATGATTGCTTGTCGTCATGTCCTCCTCACTGTTCCTCCAGGGTGGATTGGTTGGAGAGTGGTCACTCGGTTTCGGTCACCACCTTGACAGACTGGGAAGAATGTTTCTCCATCTTCTTGCTGGACATCATCTTCTCCTGCATCACATCCTCAGACTCCTTCACAGTCTCGGTGACAGTGACTGATTTAGTGACATGCTTGGCTCCGTCCTCTCCAGTGGTGATGGTCTCCACCGTTTTGGTGATGACCACCTTCTGGTTGGGGTCATCTTTCTGGTTGGGGTCATCTTTGGTGGGGCTCTCGTCCACTCCATTTGAGATCACATCCGTCTCCTCTTTCTTCCCATCGTCCTTTTTGTCCTCTGGGGCACTCTTTTCCACATCTCCGCTCATAGCTGCATCTTTCTTTTCTACCTTCTCTTCCTCTGAATCACTCTTTTTGTCTACTTTCTCTTCTGCAGCCTTGGGGGCCTCTGACTTTGGAGCTTCTGGTTTGGGAGCATCATCCTTAGGGGACTCTGCTTTGGGGGATTCAGATTTGGGGGACCCTGCAGGTTTGGGGGATTCAGATTTGGGGGACCCTGCAGGTTTGGGGGATTCAGATTTGGGGGAACCAGCAGGTTTGGGTGATTCAAATGTGGGGGAACCAGCAGGCTTGGGGGATTCAGATTTGGGGGATCCAGCAGGTTTGGGAGTTTCAGATTTGGGGGAGCCGGGTTTTGGGGATTCAGATTTAGGGGAACCAGCTTTCGGGGATTCATGTTTGGGGGATCCAGCTTTTGGTGACTCAGACTTAGGGGACCCAGCCTTTGGGGATTCAGCTTTCAGGGAGTCTGGCTTGGAGACCTTTGGGGCCTCAGATTTCTGGACCTCAGCTTTTGGGGCCTCACTCTTGGGGGCATCTGTTTTGGGAGCCTCTGTCTTGGCTACAGCTGCCTCATCTGTTTTGTCCTCTTTCTCATCCTTGCCTTTCTTCTCATCTTTCTCATCCTTATCATCTCCATCTTTGGATCCTTTGTCACTACCTGCAACTTCATCTTTATCACCACCCTCCTCTTCTCCCTCTCCCTCTGCTGTCTCCTCTTCTCCTCCGCTTCCCTCCTTCTCTCCAGCCTTCTCTTTGTCAGGAGAGGCCTTTGATTCTGGGGCTGTCTCCTCTACTTCCTCCTCTCCCTCTTCCGCTCCTTCTCCCTCAACACCACCTTCTGCATCATCTCCCTTCTCACCCTCATCCTTTCCTACTTTCTCACCCTCTTCTTCTTTCTCTCCTTCCTCAGCACCCTCTCCTCCATCTTCATCTTCATCGCCATCCTTTTTGTCCTCCTCTTCCTCCTCAGCAGGGGCGCTGGAGCTCACTTGGGCTTCAGTGGAGGCCACAACCTCTTCTGAGTCACCCTCTACCTCTTCTCCATGTCCCTCTGCTTCTTCTCCTTCCTCTTCTCCCTTATCCTCTCCTTCCTCCTCTCTGTCATCTGCTGCCTCTGCCTCTGCCTCCAGTGCGGCAGACAGCTCCTGGGCAATCTCTGCCAGGGCCACGTCAATCTCAGACTTCTCATCCTCAACCCTGATCTCCTCAATGATCTCCTCTACAAACTTGTGCTGGACCTTCAGTTTGGGAGGCCCAGACTTGGACTTCTTAGAGGAGGTTACAGCTTGGCGGTAAGGGAAAGTGCTAAAGTGGGTCTCTTCGCCTTCTAGGAGTTTCCTGCAAGAACAGTAGAAAATGAGATATAGTATAGTGTAGGCCTAATATAAAAGTTAGGGTCTATATATAGTGAACAAAAATATAAACACAACATTAAACAATTTCAAAGATTTTACTGAGTAACAGTTCATATAAGGAAATCAGTCAATTGAAATAAATAAATTAGGTCCTGATCTATGGATTTCACTTGACTGGGCAAGGGTGCAACCAACGGTGGGCCTGGGAGCGTAAAGACCCACCCGCTTGGCAGCCAGGCCTACCCACTAGGGCGCCAGGCCCAGCCAATCAGAATGTGTTTTTCCCCACAAAAGGGCTTCATTACAGACAGAAATACTCCTCAGCACCACAATAATGAACAGGGATGTAAACAAATGTATCTACAACATTTTAGAGAAATAAGCTTTTTGTGCATATGGACAATTTCTGGGAATTTTTATTTCAGCTATGAAACATGGGACCAACACATGTTGCATTTATATTTTTGTTAAGTGTAGAAATTAGATGTTTATTTTTTATTACACATGATGAAATACAATTGTTTTGTTCCTTAATGAGTACAAATCTTTTTTCGAGGTGTTTTTTAATTGTATTTTTATTTTTTTATCAATGATAGGCCTAATTAGCACACTGTCGTTGCACTGTACCTGTATGCAGCAATCTCGATGTCAAGGGCCATCTTGACATTGAGCAGGTCCTGGTACTCGCGCAGATGACGCGCCATCTCCCACTTCGTGCCCTTGAGCTCATTATCCAGCTGGTGGATGGTCTCCTGCAGAAACCAAGACCAAGAGACATGAGCTGGTTAGGAGCTGTTATTACCTAGGCCTATGTGGTACTCTGAAATAATACTTGGTTATCTATTTTTGGTGCAGGGAGGACAGGTCTCCAAAAGGACCCAACCCTCTTAAAGTAATACTAAACTATAAAAAAAATACAATTTTGTATTTTGTTCCTGGTAATTAGGCTATATCACAAGGACATTTAAACGTGTGTACATTTACAACACATTAACGCACTTTAAGATTGCATTACAATATCGTTGCTATAACAATTGAAAGTGTGAAGTCATCCTGTCTCCTTGTAAAAGGGAAAATAAATGGATATGTTGGAGACCGTTCTGCGCCAATGGTTAGGCTATTATTGTTCTGTGAAATAATTTATTCTGACGCAGTGTATACTGTTTCGAGGGCAGCCTCTTCACACTTGTTCAATAGTCCTCCTCGAAATCTGTTTGGGGTGAGGCAAGGACACAGCCAATGAACGCATCGACCCGCGTCTCTGACTCGGCAAAAAAAAAACGTTTGCTGCATTGTGTCTTCCCTTAAATAATCCTGACTTGCACCATTTGTCGCAGTTTATAAGAAGCCTAAAGCTTCAACAAGGACGGGAGATGTAAAAGCTGTGCCCATACCAGAAGATGTCAGCATTGTGCCATTTATCTAAAGCAAATACGCAGACAACACCATTGCGCAGAGTTTATAGCCCAGATAAAACACATATATCAATATTAACACAATAAAACCATTCAGTTAGTGTAAAATCAAGACAAATATAATATGTGTATGTTTCTTTCTCAAAGTAGGGAACTCTACTTATAGGTAGACCTACATTTACAATAAGAATAAAAACCTCAAAGGTATGGTGATAATATCCTCACACGACTCTGTCACAATTTGATAGCCTATATGATAAACGAAAAACATCTGATTATATTATTTAGCCAACTCTCTCCACTACATTGCTTCTCTATTTACACAAAGAATACAACTTTACAGACCACAGGTTTCTGTATGAAAACAATGCCAACAGCGGGTCTCATCATACCTGCAGGCTGGACAGGTCATTGTTGTGTCTGTCCTCGATGTCATTCAGCTGCCTCTCCAGTGACTCCCTGGTTCCACGGACGGACTCTAACTCCACGGTCTTGGACTGGAGCTGGCGGCGGTAGTCGGAAATCTCATCACGGGCGGACTTGATTGCATCTTTGTTTTGTTCTGCAGCATCAGTGAGCTTGGAATAGCGGCACATGAACCAGTTCTCCACCTGCTGCAGGTTCTGGTTGGAGTGGCCCTCGAGCTGGGTGCGGATCTCCCGGAGCGCCTTGGTGATGTCCGTCTTCTGGAAGTCTTTCCTCTCCATGGTCACCTGCGACGCCTGCACCTGGGAAAACAGCTCGCTCACCTCTTCCTCATGGTTGTTACGGATAAAGGCAATCTCATCCTGCAGTGACTGGACTTTCTTCTCCAACTCCGACTTCACTAACTCCGAGTCATTCATATCTTTTTTGAGCGCCCGGATGATGCCTTCCGTCTCATCCCTGATGCGAGCTTCCTCATCGAAGCGGTCCCTAATTCTCTGGATGTCCTCCTCGATGTGGTCCGTGTCGAGCTGGATCTGCGACTTATCGTGGTGGATCTGCTCCAGCATGGAGCGCAGCTCCTGGAGCTCCTGGTCATATAAATCGCCTAACTGGGACTGTGACACCTGCTTCTGCCGCAGCGCCTGGATCTCCTCCTCGATCTGGCTGTTCTGCTGCTCCAGATAGTGCACCTTGTCGATGTAACCGGCGAAACGGTCGTTGAGCCCCTGGAGCTGCTCTTTCTCGTTGGAGCGCTTGTAGTCTCCGTTCGTTTGACTGAAATCAACGCTGTCGGCGGAGCTGAGGAGTGTGGAGCTGTACGCTCTGGCTACCGGCAAATTGACGCTCCTCTTGTAGGGCTTGTTAGGGCTTGACCGGGACCAGGACTGAGAACGGAACCCGCTGGAGGGGGTTCCGGAGGAGCGGCCGTAGCTGGTCCTACTATCCATGCTTCTCCTGAATGGACTCCCTACCGTGTCCACCGGGTGGTAACTCATCCGGCCAGACCAGGGGGTGCGTGTGCAGATGGAAGGGAAGGTGTGCGAGGTGGAGGAGTCGGGTGAGTGTGTGTGTGTGTGTGTGTGCAGGTGCGGGGTGGATGGCGCTCACAGCATTCTTAGCCTCACCGGCTGTCCTTTATATACGAAAGGAGCAATCGCTAAAAAGGCCAGTAGGAACTGTTTTTACTGGCTCATTGATCGAACCGAGGGGGAGGGCCATGTCTCAACCAACCCCTCCGAATTTGTTAGAGGTTCGGGGTGCCACTCAAGAAACACCACGTGGTGTGTGAGGGTTTGTGGGTGGCGGTTTGAAAAGCAGAGGAATAATCACACATAGGGGAAAAAAGGAAAAGGGCGATTATCATTAGGATGTTTCCAGAACTGAAATCATTCATTCGAAACCATGCAGATGCTGAGTTATTCATTGGGATAGCCTGTGTTAATGTATTTATCAGTTGGCTCTTGTCACAGGGTGAATATAGAGTTTTCTCTCAATATTGAAAATTAGAATGAGAAAGGAAATTATACATATATCTCTGCATTTGCTCATTCGAACAACCAAAGAGCAGCATTTCTATGCATGGAGATGTGACTTATGGAGGAGTTCAATATCCCATGTTAACTCTTATTTTCCCTATTGTTAGTCAGCAAAAACTGTTATAGCAGAAATGATCAATTTACCAATGCAATTCAGAGCGAGAACAATATCAGCACCACGGGCAGAGCCAGTCCGCCAGACGCTAGTCATTAGTTTAGTGCTAGCAGCACCATGGGCAGCGACTTAAAGCAGCAAAACACAATTCCCGTCTTTATAAGACCTTTGAAAAGTGTTCAAACATTTTATCTCAAATCGAAATAATTATAGAATGGTCGATCATAAAATAAATTGAATGAGTATTTAATCTTTGCACACTAACATGTGTAAAGCCAACCTAATTTGTTAGTATTGATGTTATGTGTTTGTGCTAAATCTTCAATATATGTGATCGATTACAATCAGAGGGATTACTATCAGTGACATACCGATGACGTATAAGCTGAGACCAACATCAGGGCATAAGGGTTCAAGCAACAAGGCTACATCATGCATGATTAATCTGTGACCACTTAATAGTTTCAGGAAATTATGAAGCGTTCATCATAGATGTGGTTATTGACAGCTATTATAGATTACAGTTACCATCAGTCTGTGCTTATATGCGAGTAATACCCCATTGAATAATAATGCCTAACCTAATATGTTATGGACTTGGACAAATTTGCCCTCTTGTGCTCTTTGAGACATTTCTAATCAAATCATTTCTGTGGTGACGAACATGCATCCAGAATGTACACTGTAAAAATCCAAACACCATGATTGTGTAATGAAACCATGAAAAGTAGTGCACCTAAACTGAGATCTGGTGTTTGGAGGGTGTTTGACTGTAAACCCAATGTAAGTGTTTTAATACACAGAATGTGTTTTAAAACAGAATTGAAGTACTCTGGTTCTTCAACCTGAATATTGGTGTTTTTAAGATTGTGAAAACACTTTTTGGGGTTTCAGTGCATCAAAACACAAAAACTGTGTTTCTCATACAGTCAATGTTTTAGAAAAGCAAATGGTTTATAGCCTAAATACTTCATTGATGATAAGGGGCTATGGGTAATATTTTTTGTATTTGTTCAACGCTTTATTTAGACAGAGTAGAAGCAGGAGGGGCAGTAAGATGGTACATTTCGTTTGAATTTGACCAATTCAACCACACAGCCACACTGTAAGTGTGACACACACTGAGTATACGAAGAGGCAGGACGCTGACGTAGGAATTAACAAGGTCAAGGTTTACTAAGCAAGAGAAATAACAAAGATAGAGTAAATGACACGAAGCTAAACAATCACACACAACATCATCCAGAACAGTCCAGGGCTAAATAGGGGTGGTGATGAGTTGAGTTGCAGGTGCGCTGGAGGTGATTAGGGTGCGTTGGGTTTCCATTCCGGTGTTGCCGAAGGTGGTGCGCTCAGACCGGTGGCTCAGTAGACCGGCGAATCAGAGCGCCGGATGGGAGCAACAGGAGGAGACGTGGGAAGGAGCAGCCGGTATGATACCTCATTTATCCACAAACCGGGGGCTCAATTTCTTGCAGGGCAGGCGGAGAGGGAGGTTTTTTGTGGACAACCAGACATGAGCCCCAGGCTGGAATACAGGAGCCTCACTGCGGTGGCGGTCGGCTTGGTCCTTCTGCCGACGAATGGCCCTCTGGAGATGGACATGGGCGGCGTCCCAGACCTGTCCGGCCCTGTGGAACCACACGTCGACAGCGGGCGCATCGATCTGGCTGGGTGGTCAAGGGGCCAGGGCCGGCTGGTACCCCAGGACGCACTGGAAGAGGGTGAGCCCCATGGAGGAGTGAACGAGGGAGTTCTGAGCATATTCTGCCCAGGGAAGAAACCTTGCCCACTCACCCTGCTGGTCCTGACAGTGGCAACAATGAAACCTCCCCAGCTCCTGGTTCATGCACTCCACCTGCCCATTCGACTGAGGCCTATACCCGGAAGTGAGGCTGGCCGTGGGATTCAAAATTGTTTAACTTCATGATTCTTTCACACAATATTGTATGCATGTTTGAAGAAAGTATTAAGCTTGTTGAGCCATGAGGTGCAATGGATTATGATGAATGGAAATCAAAACTGTCAGGCAAATTGAAGTTCAATGAGGACAGCACCCATTCCCACATTCATGATTGTCAATGGAAGAGGCAATTGCAGAATCCTCAATACTTGCACTTAAACCTCCAGTTACTGATGGTGGTTTGAACCCCGTGCTTGACAATGCCTGCCGAGACGATGATCAAATGATCAAATACGTAACAAAATGTTAAACATTAAATGTAATTTGTTTATTTAAGACACTTCAGAAAAGGGGATCTAATTCTTCACTAGACAGTAAATCAAAACATCATAATGGTGTTTCGAAGCTTTAGAGGGAGGAAATGACACCAAAAGAGAAGGCATCTAATTCTGCACTAAACAGGACTCGAAACACCATAATAGTGTTTTCAACCTTTTCTGTTATTGCTCCCAATCCCTTGTAAGGTGTTACAAAACACTTACATTTTTTTTTTTTTTTACATTTTAGTCATTTTAGCAGACGCTCTTATCCAGAGCGACTTACAGTTAGTGAGTGCATACATTATTTTTTTCATACTATTTTTCATACCCCCGTGGGAAACAAACCCACAACCCTGGCGTTGCAAACGCCATGCTCTACCAACTGAGCTACATCCCTGCCGGCCATTCCCTCCCCTACCCTGGACGACGCTGGGCTAATTGTGCGCCGCCCCATGGGTCTCCCGGTCACGGCCGGCTACGACAGAGCCTGGATTCGAACCAGGATCTCTAGTGGCACAGCTAGCACTGCGATGCAGTGCCTTAGACCACTGATGAAGTGGTGTTACAACACACCATGTAATGTTTTAAAACATGTCAGGATTATGTGTTTCACTACTCCAGCAAAGTTAAGGTTTCGTCTCCTTCAACTTTTTGGCAGCTCAGTTGCCACTAGTTTGGGTATTGTTACAAAGCACTTCATTTTAACAGTGTGACATTGTTTCTATAATCAAATTTCTCCTTCCTGGTTCAGAATCTTATCTGGCCATCTGAATGGGTGCTCCCTGCACAGTAACAGTTATGAGTATGGATGGTTCAGCCTGACAGATTGATGACTACTGCCTAAACCTGGTGGTCTTCGAGATCATTTTCAATAATCTGCAAGGTTTCAGACAGAGCTAATTTCCTTTGGGAGATAAGATGTCTGGTAGATTCTGGAGCAGAACACTAACTGTACTTTCACAGATGCATAATAACATGCATAAACTATTCTTTATGATCTTTGATTAGTCATGCAAGATAGCTGGCATACTTTACCTCACTAATTTTGTTAATCCACCAAAGATGTAATTCTATTTAGTCCACCCATGAGCTGTGGTTTTAGATCAGGTCTGCAGCCCCAGAAGGACTGTAACTCTATCTGTCTAACTCTAATAATGATGGGAAACACCAACTGCTCAGTACTCACAATTCAAAGAGGGCTTATCTCTTCCTATCAGAATTAATTTGTTTCTTTGAGGGCTTAACTAATTGGAAGAAAAGTACTTTTGTGAATAGTATAATTACACATTTGAATTTACAGCATGTTAACGTTAGACCCCCTCCATTGGATTCTACATTGAATCTGAGCATGATCAGAAGCATTTGGACTGCTCTTAGAGTCCTGAATATGAGTATATTCAGTCTATCATATCGTCTAACAGTTTCTCTTTAGGGTCATATTTCACTTTGATTAATATGCTTTCGTAAAGAGATACAAAATACAATGCATAAGTTACAGTCTTTGGGTTGTGGCTGAGACCACATGGGATGCAGAGGCTGCTATGTCCTCCCTGCATTGAGATGTTTTCTCTAAGGAGTGAAGCCGCAGTGTTGGTTGCCAGATCTGATTGGCTGCGGTCTGTTGTCATTCTTATTGATCCCCCATCAATCCTGCTCTAATCCTTTCAGAGGTAACAGAGGTCACTGCAAACCCTGTAGCTGCAACTTCTGCAGCTAATGCAACAAAATGGCTGCCTTAGATGGCCATATTTCATCGTATGAAAACTGCTGAGGCTATTTTTGACAAACGACAAGGCTATTTTTGCCTCCCAGAACATTATTAGCCACAAAATGAAAATCAATCAGATTTGAATCAGGATTGATTTAGATGCTCCAGTCACCTTTAAAACCCCTTGTTTTATACCACAGGCATAAGAGGGGAGAATAAGTTATTCCCATCTTTGAGATTGAATTAGACACTTCTCGTTAATCACCTGTCTGTATTCTGTTATCTCACTCATTGTTTTTCCATCGCAACAGTTAGTGCTGCAGAGCGAACCCTAATCCATTTGAGAGCTCAGCCAATTTTAGATTGTGTTTGTCCCAGAGAGAGAGAGAGAGAGAGAGAGAGAGAGAGAGAGAGAGAGAGAGAGAGAGAGAGAGAGAGAGAGAGAGAGAGAGAGAGAGAGAGAGAGAGATAGAAAGAGAGAGGGACAAGGAGAGAAAAAACAGAGGTACTTACTGTTAA